GCCACCGGCAGCAAGGAGGTGATGGCCAAGGTGCGGAGTCCATTGCCGTGAAGAAATCGTCGTCCATGTGTGAGTCGTCGACAAGTTGCGGCATCGACGACAACATGAAGGCGGGTCACTGGCGAGTTGCGGCACCGGTGACAACCATGAAAGCGAGTCATCGGCGAATTGTGTCACCGGTGGAAAACATGAAGACGAGTCACCGGCGAGTTGCGTCACCGGTGGTGACCATGAGAGCGAGTCATCGGCGAGTTGCGTCATCAGTGGCAAACATGGAGGCAAGTCACTGGCGAGTTGCGGCACCGGTGGCGGACATGCGGCAGCGAGTACGTGACACGACGGCATGCTCTTGGTGAAAGCGTAGGAGGCGCGTCTCTCATCGCGGCCAACGGCGACATCGACAAATCGGCGCGGGAAGATGGCAATGGCGGCCGTCTACATGGCAATGGCAACGATGACAACGGGCTTCAAGAGATAAATAAGTAATAACAAGATTGGGAGGTGATTGTTGGAACTAATCTTGTTATTAGTGCTAGATTATTAGATTAGTTATTTGCATGAGTTGGTAATTAATTATACGCGTGTTGTAAGTAGCTAGTGGGTGAGTGGGTCTATTAGTGGAGTTGTTAGTGGTTAAATTAATTAGTGGATGGTTAGATGCAAAGTGTACGTGTGGGTGTGTGTTGTGCTGCTAGCCTGCTAGCTATTTAAGCATGCGGAGAGTTTGTTTTATTATATGAAAAACTAAGTGGCTTTAAGCACAAAGAAAAAAGGGCTACGTGAGTTTCTTTTCTTTTTCCTCTGATAGAGTATTAATTCTAGAGAGAAGTGAGAGCTAGAGAGAGAAAGTGAGTAATTATATTTCTCAACCCCCTATAATGAGCCCCTTGGGGTCTATTTATAGGTAAAAATGTGGATTTGGGCTCCTAGCCATGGGCTTAGGAGGCCCATTACAATAATTATGCCTTCTTTGGGCGAAATAGGGCCACTAATGGGCTGTGTACAATACTTAGTAAATAAAGTAGAGAGATGCATTCTGCCCGGACGAAACCGGGCCGATGCGGTGCCTTTTGGCCGATGCGGTCTCATGGCCGATGCGGTCCATGAGCCGATGCGGCCCCGGGGGTCCATACGTGCTTCCTGGGCCGGTTTGGTTTCCGGCCGATGCGGACCCACTGGCCGAAAGGGGGCCACACGGGTGTTCTTCTGGTCATCGTTGACTTGAGTATGTGGACCATGGGGTCCAGGCCCATATACTCTATCACCCTCCTATGTACGTATGCATGCAAATGCTTCTACTACGAAGAGTATAAAGTATATAGTTTAAGTCTAAGCAATCCCAACACTACATATGCAGCCCCGTAGGAAAACAGGAAGACGGTATTCATCTAATATACTTCGTATACCATTCACATTTACGTTCAATACTACGTATTTAGTTTTAAAATCAGTACAAATAAACTGCAATAAAAGTACATTAAAAATTGAACATCATTCGCAATTATTAATGCAAAGTTAACTACTTTGAAACAGAGAAAACTCTAGTGGTAATTAATAATGTTTGATATATCTTGGTCGTAAATATTGTGAGAAAAGTTCTAAAACTTCGTATATTTTCTTAAAATATGACTTGTCTTTGCATGCCGCATAATGTATATTCCATATGTGTCTACATCATACTTCGTACATTTTTTTTAGAATTGTCTACGTCATACATTAAGAAAGAACCATGGATATCATACTGAATACTTTGGGAGTAGCAATTCAGGGGCGGAACCAGCCTAGTGCCCGGGGGTGCTCGTGCCCCTGGAGTGATTATATATATATATATAACATATATATACATATATTAATATTTAATTAGTTGAGCCCCTACAGCCTAATCCCAAAAGCCCTTTACCTTAGCCCTTTCCCTTGTGCCAGCCCAATCCCAAAATTCCTTTCCTGGGGCAGCCCATAGCACAACTCCCCGAAAGCCAAAACGCCAAGACCCCAAGTCCCAACTCAAGCGGTTTGCCCCTGCGTAACTAAGTTCAAGCTACAAAGACGGAAACTAAAAGCGAGTCAACGTTCTAGGCTTCAAGCTACTGCGTTCAAGCTACAACGTTAGCAAATCACAACAGCGAGTCAGCGAGTAGGAACTAGAAGCCTTTTGGTGGTGATATCATGTATCGATACATGTTAGCCGACCTCAATATCTTTTGGGACTAAGGCTGGGATGTTGTTGTTGTATTGAATTGTATTTGTTTAATTCAAATAAAATGTTAATTGTTGAATACTTTTATATGTTGAATTCTGATAGAGTATTAATTCTAGAGAGAAGTGAGAGCTAGAGAGAGAAAGTGAGTAATTATATTTCTCAACCTCCTATAACTAGCCCCAAGGGGTCTATTTATAGGTAAAAATGTGGATTTGGGCTCCTAGCCATGGGCTTAGGAGGCCCATTACAATAATCGTGCCTTCTTTGGGCGAAATAGGGCCACTAATGGGCTGAGTACAATACTTAGCAAATAAAGTAGAGAGATGCATTCTGCTAGGACGAGGCCTGGCCGATGCGGTGCACTTTTGGCCGATGCGGTCCCATGGCCGATACGGTCCATGGGCCGATGCGGTCCCGGGAGTCCATGCGTGCTTCCTGGGCCGGTTTGGTTTCTGGCCGATGCGGACCCGCTGGCCGAAGGGGGCCACGTGGGTGTTCTTCTGGCCATCGTTGACTTGAGTATGTGGGCCATGGGGTCCGGGCCCATATACTCTATCAGGAGTCCCCCACTCTCTGAGCTGAGGTGAAGCCGAAGCGAAAGGGAGTACTTGTTCCTTTCTGGCTGGCCGTTGCGTGAGTCTAAGGCGTTTGTTGACCGAAGAGTTCCTGCTTCGATTTCGGACGAAGCGGTTCCCTTATTTGATGTAGATGAAGCGTGCTTGGGAACTTCCTAGTCTTGATGCGGGCCGATGCACACTCTGTGGAAGTGCCTTCGAAGACGAGGCGATGCGCTTTCTTTTTTGTAGATGTGATGAATTCTTGGATAATTTGGCATGCCTTCGCTGTTATCTTGTTGGAGCCGAAGAGCTCCCGTTTATCCTTTTGGCCGTAGCGAAGACCTATTTCCATGAGGTGAAGATGGTTTTATTCTGTTTATGTAGACGATGCGATGCGCACCTTTGATTTGTTATGCAGCCGAAGCGTTTTGACTTGTGAGTTTTGTTATGGTGAGACGATGCGGTCTTCTCAGTGTACGCAGCCGTTGCGATCCTCTTGCGTTGGTGGACGTAGCACTGCTAGTAAATAAGCCGATGCGCGTTGCTCTATGTTGTGTAGCTGTTTTAGTGTTTTTATAGCCAATCGCAATCCTTAGTATTTTGATGGCTAGCCGATGCGATCTTTTGTTATTGGCCGTTGCGTTCTCTCTTTTTGTGGCCGATATAGTCCCCCAGTCCCCCACTCCTTTGGCCGAAGAGCATCTGAGGCACAAGGGAGTAATGAGCCGATCCGGTACCTATGCGTTGGTCGTGACTCCAACCCTTAGGCGAACCTGTCCAAGGTAACCCTGTGGGAGAACCCTTGGACGAAGGCCGCAATGCCAGGGTTATCATCGACGATGCGCGCACAAGCAGCCGTAGCGGTCTATTCAAGGTTCTTTGGGGTTGCTTTGGGGCCGTAGCGTGTTTTGCTGATGCGGCCATGTCTTTGGTAAAATTGGGCCGTAGCGGGTTTCTCCTTGTTTTTTGAGTGAGTAGGCCGGTGCCTACCCTAGTCTCAGGACCTGTTGGGCCGTAGCGGCGGTCTCAAAGTGGAATGTGAAAAGACAAGCACTGATTGGCTTTAGGAGAGGTGCCGTAGAGGTGACCAATTGGAGTTTGCCACGTGTAGTGACCGTTGGAGGGGGTGCCTATAAATACCCCCAACTCCGAAGCCATTCCCTCATTTGTGCTTTTGCTGTTTGTCGAATTGCTGCCCAATTTTCTAGAGAGAGAAAGCTCCCAAGGTTTCTTCAAGTGTTCATCAATCTCCCTTCGGATCTTCAAATCTTCAAGGTCAGATTCTTGCCTGTTCTTCTTTATTTTTTTATACTTTGCTTCCTAGGGGGTTAGATCTAGTGTTTGTAGGAAAATCACTTTGATCCGAGAAACCGCCCTTAGGAATAGGTGTAGGTGTTATGCCGTTCTCTAATGGCCGTAGCGCTCCCTCCCCTATTGACTTAACAGCTTCGTTGGACGAAGAGGACTGGCCTTTTGACGAGGACGATACCTCCCCTAGAGTTGACCCTCGGATAGTGGAAGCATTTGAAGCTGAGATGGAGAATACAGCTGACTACCGCACCTCCGTAGATGAGGAGAGGATGAGTGCCGATGCGGGAGCGCGTCATTCTGGTGAAGACGAGGCGATATCTAGCTCGCCTCTGAGAGGGGATGAGGCATCCTCTTCTGCTAACATTCCTTGTCCTCCGCCGATATCGGCCGTTGCGGGTGAAGGTGCCCCGGTTCCTGGAATGAAGAAGCCGTACCGGCGGAAGAAGCGTAGAGGGGTGCTGCAGGGGCATTCGCAGTTGGATCTTACCAATCTTTACATTATTCGTCCGGAGGGGTCCCTCGGCGACTATCATGTCGCGCAGCTGTACGTTGGTCCCTACGGCCGTGTCAGAGCCCCCCTGCCGTCAGATCATGTTCTAAACCCGCCTTTGGGCTACTTTGGTGTATATCCGATGAGTTTTGCCAAGGGTTTGAGGTTCCCTCTTCATCCCTTCATCAAGGAGTATCTCGACATGGTGGAGCTCCCTCCGGCCCTATTGACTCCCAACAGTTTTTCGCTCATCATCGGCTTCTTGATCCGGTGCAAAGAGTTGGAGATTTCGCCGACGACTGCCCTTTTTATGAACCTGTTCCGGATAGGTCGAGGGAGCCATCAAAATTGTGCCGGCTACGCAACCCTGCAGCAGATCAGTGGGAGGAGGTCGTTTACAGATCTCCCTACGTCCATTCATGGCTGGAAGGCTAAGTTCGTATTTGTCACTTTGGGCCGAGGCGGGTTCTTTCCTTCAAATGGGCACAGTGGCATGTTCCAGTTGCATTCTCCCCCGTGGAGTGCTGAAATAAGCAACCAAGTAGAGGCCTTCATCAAAGGGGGGCCGAGGAGCATCAAGACGTATGTTACGGAGTACAGGATGGCTGCCCTCGGCTTCGTGCGGTATTATTGCCCCGGGGATGTGGACGATGACCTCTGGCCGAAGATGGATGGGTCTTATGAGCAGGCCGACGGGCCCCGCCTTGGTGTGCCATCCGAAGCCGAAGGTTGTCCTTCGTTTTCTTAACCCTCTCGTCGAATTTTCCTTTTCCTTTGCTAATGTCTTTGTTTTGTGCAGGTTTCGAGATGGATCGTATATCTTTTATGGCCCGTGCCGCTAGGAAGGCCGATGCGGAGCTCAAGGCCGCCCAGGCTGCTGAGGCAGCGAAGAAGTCTGCTGGCAGCTCTCAAGGAGGTGTTGAAGCTGCTAAAAAACCTGTTGCTAAGAAGGGCAGGAGGGCTGCCGATGAGGGCCAAAAGACTCTGGCCGAAGCGGGGCTAAAACTGAGCCAGGCTTCGAAGAAGACGAAGAGGGCTCCAACGAATGGAGAGGCCGGCGCCCCCTCATCTCAGGCTGTTGCGGATGTTCAGCCGTCGGCGGTCCCTCCTGTGAGTGATCCCCCTTCATCGGCCGTTGTGGCCTCGGCTTCTCGAGTTGCTCCCTCTACTGCCGCTGCCGCCCGTTTGGAGGAGGCTCTTGCTAAGGGGTCGTATGAGGTCTCCGTACGATACCCTGTCAAAGGCGGTCTTTTCAACGAGACCGTCGGAGGTGATGACATGCTTGCTCAAGCTATGCCTGAGTATGATCGCCAGTATCTCGGCCGACAAGGCCAGCATGTTCGGCTGTACGACGGAGGGATGGACTATGTCGTCCAGGTAAGGCATTTTCCTTAGTGATTTTTTTTCCTTTGCTTTTGTTTCTCTTCTGATTTCAAATTCCGCTTCGTCCAGGGTGCCCTAATGCTGCGGGAGCAGCACTGGAGACAGGAAGCCGAGATAGAGCGGCTGAAGAAGATGGAGGCTAAGGCTCTCTCAGCCGATGAGGCCCTCCAAGATCTGAGGGACAAGGCCAGGGCCGCAGAAGAGGAGATGAAGCTTCTTCAGATCCGGCTTGATGAGGCCGAGGCCGCCCGGAAGAAAGCTGATGAGGCCGTCGTCGCTGCTATCCAAAGAGCCGAAGAGGCGGAGCGCCTCAAAGCTGACGCTGAGAAGGCCGCCGAGAAGGCCGTAGTGGATTTCAAGGCCGAGGGGTGGAAAGCCGAGGACCAGCTCCCCTTCTGCTATGAGGTGGTTGCTGAGAGGTTGAATGATTGGACGACGAAGGACCCCGCCGGCCAAGAATTCTGGATGAACGAGATGCAAGCTTTCTACGACTGTGGTCAGTACAGGATGCAGAAGCTGATCTACAGGAAGCTTCGTCGTCGCTTCCGGAAGATGAGGCCGAGGGGTCTGAGTCTCCCTCGGCGAATGAAGAATCCTGACGAGGATTTGAAGCTCCCCCTGTTGGAGAGGCAGCCCCCGATCCTAAGCTCGTCTGAAGGGGAAGAGCCGTGGAGTGATAGTGATGACTATTTGCTCGAGGGGCCTGCCGATTCCCAAGCCGATGAAGGTGGTGGTGATGATGATGCCGATGACGGCCACGGCGACGGTGCTGTTGATGGTGGAGTGCCAGCTAATGTTGTAGCTTAGTATTTTCTTGTATTAGTTTTTGTAGCCATAGCACTGAAGTGCATGTAATGGCCGAAGCGCCCACCTCTTGTATCTTTTTATCCATTAATAATAAATCCTTTTTGTCACCATGATTCCCTCTTCGTCTTTGCAGTTAGGTATGTTTGCTCTTGTAAAATTTTCTAAGTGTCAAGGCTGTGTCTCGAGGTCGTTGGCGTCCCTTGATTGAGACGTAGCGATTTTCTCGCCTTTACTGTCCTTGGGGACGATGCGCCTCCTCGTCCCTTGGTGAATTATTTTTCCTTGGCAAACCTTGTCCACGCATCACGTTTTGGGGCGTAGTTTTGAAGTGTTGAGGACGAAGCGGTACCCCAGATATAGAATGGTGACGCATCGTCTCTCTTGTAGTGTGACTTAGAAAATGTTCTAAGTGTCAAGCTTGCCTTGATGGAGTTGTTTTGCCTTGGTTCGTTCACTTGGGTTTTGCTACTCGGAGATGATGCGCCCCGTCGTCCAAGTAATGGACCGTGGTTTTGTATAACCGAAACCGGAGCGATTTCCTCTTATGAAGCTGTGGTTGAGGCCGAAGCGTTCACCTCGGATTCCTGTTAGGTGAAAACCTGATATGTACTTAGCCGATTTTGAGGCTTTGGTTTTTGTGGGGATTTTATTTTTTGCTCGAGGCCGGCGAGTGCGCGGTCCGTCGGCTTCCCTCTTTTTTTTTCCTTTTGTTTTTTTTTTTTTTTTTTTTTTTTTTAGGGTGGCCGAAGGGTTACTGTCCCTTCGTCCTTGTGCGGTATTTTGCCCGCTACGCTTTTCGCGTGGATTAGTGCGAGGGAGTAAATACGCCCTCGGCTTGGTGTCAGTGGCTTCCTTTTCTGGCCTTTCCACGTCTATCGTCGACGAGGGACCGGACAAGGCATCGTCTTTTGACGGCCGCCCTTTGTGGTCCTGAGCGAAATTTTACTGACGGGTGGAGTTTTTGTAACCTCAGCCTTAATTCAGGCCTGTCGTCCTGCGGTTTCCGCGCGGACGACGCGGTATGCATCTCCATTTGAAGACGTTGGACCATGCACACAGGTCCTTCGTCCTACATATCGCCGGCCGATTTGGGTGTTTCACCGCTTGTGCCGATACGATATTTAGGTGCGTTGTTTATTGCAACGGCTTTATAGGCACGCTGTGGATCGCAACGGCCTTAGGTGCGTTGTGTATTGCAACGGCTTTGGATGCGTCGTTTATTGCGACGGCTTTAGGTGCGTTGTTTATTGCAACGGCTTTGGGTGCGTCGTTTATTGCGACGGCTTTAGGTGCGTTGTTTATTGCAACGGCTTTGGGTGCGTCGTTTATTGCGACGGCTTTAGGTGCGTTGTTTATTGCAACGGCTTTGGGTGCGTCGTTTATTGCGACGGCTTTAGGTCGCACCGGACCCGGGTGATTGCACCGCTTAGGCCGATGCGGTCCTTAGGATTACCTTTGTTCAAATCTTAAAAGATTGGATGAAACATGAATTTTATTCAATGAGTGGCGCTAGGCCGAGGGTGTTTTATTCAACCAATAAGCCGAGGGGTGGGGGACGTTGCCCGCTTCACCACTTCTCGAGTCATTGGTAAAATTTCACCAGGTGGTGTACATTCCACAATCGTGGTACATCTGACCCATTAGGGTTCTTTAGTTTGTAAGTGCCGGCTTTGATGACGGCGCTGACGATGTAGGGCCCTTCATATTTGACGGCGAGCTTTCCTCCTTCCGTCGGCTTGCTTGCTTCCCTTCGGCGGAGGACGTAGTCCCCCACTTGGAATTCGCGAGAGCGGACCTTGGCGTCGTAGTAGGATTTGACTTGTCGTCTGTAGTTTTCTGCCCGAAGGTAAGCCATCTCCCGCCTTTCATCAATGAGGTGCAAATCAATCTTCATGGCTTCTTCATTGGCTTCGGGGTCGTATTGTGTGACCCGTCGGCTGGGGAGGGTGACTTCAGTGGGAGCCTTGGCTTCGAAGCCGTAGCACAAGGAGAATGGTGTCTCCCCGGTGGCCCTCCTTGGCGTGGTGCGGTAGGACCATAGGACGTTGGGGAGCTCGTCGACCCAACTTCCGCCTTCTTCCTCGAGTTTCTTCTTCAGCCCCTCCAAGATGGTTCTGTTGGCGTTTTCAACCTGCCCGTTGGCCTGAGGGTAGGCAACGGAGGAGAAACGGTGCTTGATACCCCATTCTCGGAGGAGGCTTTGGAACGGTTCGGCCTCAAACTGGGTGCCGTTGTCTGATATGATCTCCTGCGGCACGCCGAAGCGGGTGAGGATGTTCTTGTAGACGAACTTACGACACCGCGCTCCGGTGATGCTCGCGAGTGGTTCGGCCTCGACCCATTTGGTGAAATAGTCGATGGCGACGATGATGTATCTGTTGTTGCCCGCAGCTCTTGGTAGAGGGCCGACGAGGTCGATGCCCCATCTGGAGAATGGAATGGCGGTGCTGACCGGGGCGTAGTTGACGGCCGGTCGGCCAGGTGCCCTTTGATAATGTTGGCATGCGCTGCATTTGCGGGCGACCTCAGCACAATCGCGCGCCATCGTCGGCCAGAAGTAGCCTTGGACGACGAGGCGGCGCGACATGCTGAAGGGCCCCTGATGTGATGAACAGACGCCGCAGTGGACTTCTTCCATGGCCACTTCGGCCTCATTCTGGTGTAGACACCGGAGGAGGGTGCCATTGTAAGATCTCTTGTAGAGCTTGTCACCCTCAATGACATAGCTTGGGGCCCTGAGCTTGGCTAGTTTGGCCCTCTCCTCGTCTTCTGGTAGTGTGCCGGAGGTGATGTATGTTGCAATGTCAGTGATCCAGTCCTCCGGCTGGTGTTGGATGGAGAGTATAGGGCTAGCATGAATGCTTGACATGCTCAACTCCTCCACCTTAGCTATCTTGGAGATGTGCTCAGGGGTGTCGGAGCTGAGCTTGGAGAGTATGTCGGCCTCGGCGTTCTCCGCCCTTGGGATCTGAGTGATCTCGTAGGTATCGAACGCCTTGAGCAATTCCGCAGCGGCCTCCTTGTATTGTTTCATCCTCCCTTCTTTGGCCTCGTAGGAACCCTCCATTTGGCTCACTACGAGTTTGGAGTCGCATTTGATTCTGACGTTGCGTGCTTTGAGGCCAGCGGCTAATCTGAGACCGCTGAGGAGCGCTTCATACTCGGCCTCATTGTTGGATACTTTGAAGTTGAAGCGTATGGCATAGTATGCTCTGAATCCTTCCGGGGAAATGAGGACGACGCCACCCCCCACAGGCTTTGGTGGCTGAAGATCCGTCCGTGTAGAGGGTCCAGGCTTCGTCCGGTTCAGCTCCTGTGGTGGTAACGGCCGTCTCCCTTGCCGTGCATTCGGTGACGAAGTCAGCTAAGGCTTGTCCTTTGATGGAGGGCCTTGGCTTGATCTCTATCTGGTACTGGCTTAGGAATATCGCCCATTTGATCATTCTTGGAGAGCTGGTTGGGCTCCTCATGAGGGCGCCCAACGGCTGATGTGTGAGGACGTGGACGGGGTGAGCTTGGAAGTAGTGTCCAAGTTTTTTCACCGTGTGGACGATGGCCAGCACCGTCTTTTCAATGGGGGAGTACCTGAGCTCGGCCTCCCGCAACGTCTTGCTGACGTAAAATATTGCCTTTTGTACCCCGTCATCCTCCCTGATGAGTACAGAGCTGACGGCCGACGTGCTCACCCCTAAGTAGAGGAAGAGAGTCTCGCCGGGTTGGGGTTTGGATAGGACGGGTG